TCGTCCCCTTACGCCGCAAGCGCTGCTATCAGCTCCTAAACCCAGATTGAACCACTTGCCCGAGCTGTGCGCCCGGCCGATCAAGTCAACCGCTTTTTGTCTCGGGTGGGGTCTTTGCACAGCTTGTTCAGCTTACCAAATACGGCCGGCCCGGGATAACGTCCGTCGGCGAACCCCGGCGACATCGCCGTAGTATTCCGCCCCGAGTGGTTCAAAATCATCATTTCTCACACTCTGCACGGATACTCCGTAGGGATTTAGATATCCGTACGGATTCAGCACTCATGCCTTCCATTGTCAGGCTAGGTATCAGACTCAGATCACCCGTCGACCGACTTTACCTGGATCTCGTGCGAGTGCCGAGGCTCTAGCTGATGGACGCCCCGAAACGGCCTAGTTGGTTGGCATCACGCAGGTGGCTTGCGTTTGAAGGGCGGTTGGCGGAGAGCAAAGACGATGCCCCTGATCCACCTTTGAGGAGCCTCTCCACATACTTTAACCCTCTTCGCTTGCTTTTTCCTCTTAGACCTAAGCAGACTCGATCATCTTGGCCAGTTGTCAGTCGCGTGGCACTGATGCGGGTTTAATGCCAGAAATGCCATCTTGGACATGACGGTCAGTCTTACTGTCTAATGTACCAGAAGGTCCCAGACATATCCACTCATACACCGCCAAGGTCCAGACCAACATTGAGATTCTCGTGTGGCTTGCGATATGCGCCAATAGCTTCGGTCAGTTGGGTACGCGAGTGCCTTGGACTCCCAGTGTGCCAGTCCATCAGATGTATTTCTACAGCTGCCATCACAACATACGTGCGCAGTGGGATGTGTGAACAACGAGCCAGTGCTGGCACACTCTCACACTCTCTCCTCGGCGGCAGATACAAGTCGTGTCTTGCATCAGAGAGATGAATTCGTCTTCATATTCCGGATACAGCACCCGTCAGACCGTAGACGGGATCGCTGAGCATTGTCCCACTGCCACAGTGTCTCACAAACCCTACGAAAGCGATCTGTAATACGCTGCGGACTGCACCCTTGCCAATGAGCACAAGCCGCCTCAGCACAAGCCGCCTCAGCACTAGCCACTTTACAGTAGCATTGGGGGCATCGTATGCTTTCGAATCGTGGAGAGACGGGGATATTGACTCGTACCTTGCGCTGAGGATCATGAAGAACCGGGGGGACTTTCGCCTTTTGCTCATCATTTGAGCGGTCCGTTCCTGTGTGCATGCCCACGACGCCCTCCGAGGCAGGTCGACTGGCTTCCAGATCGCGGAAACCCCTATTATGGGATTCTCGCCTTGGGTGATCCCACAGCAGCTCGTCGCACTAGATGACATGTCTGAGACATGAGCTAGGGTCGTTACACATCATCAAGCGGTGATGAGAAGCTATCCCAGCCATCTGGTTTGTGTCCCTCAAAGGACACAGGAAACGAGTCGCTGACCAGAGTTCTAACTGAATAATGTATCAGTCCGTAGGCCACGGCGAGAACTAGGATCGACAGGGCTGCGTCTCGAAAAAGCCCGTCCCTCGTTCCGACGTGTTAATTGATGATCTTCGTGCGGAGGGGCAACGTGGTGTTGCGGGTCGACAAGCTATATCCACCTCGAAGCGAGGACGATCGCGAGGTCTTGAGGTTGCAGTCTCCTCCGACCAGTTAATTACGCACCCTCTCCACAGACCACAGCGACCACTGAGCTTCAGGCGCACCCTGCACGTAAGCTTACTCTCGTTCACTACTCAGAACCCAGAAACCCGGAGTTGGCACTCTGTTGGGGGGTTGGCAAAAACCTGCTGCCTGAGTCGCAGTGTAAATGAGCGCCATGCAACGCCGGCCCGATGGCGAGTCAGGATGGAGTTGCGATTTCTGGGAACGTTGCACGCGGATTGTCTCGCTCGAGCGCTGGCGCTGGGGAGTCGGCCGACCCGTACCAAGATCGAGAAAAAGGCTTTACGGATACGGCGCCTTTTTCGAGGTTTTGGGAAATCGACGTTGCACGAGGCTTGGCCCGACCGGTAGCATCTTTGCGAGGCGGCGGCTCCTGGAGTGCCGGATGCTAACAACGACGAGGGGGGCTTGACGGGAGCCCTGGGTTCGGACATTGCTTCTTTGTCTGGTGTCTTGCCTATGTAGTGGCTGGAAGCCTACGACAACGTTTTCAAGGAGTTGAGAAGGTGGAGGAATGCTTCCAGAAACATGTGAAGCCTTTCGATGCGAATGGCTGAAAGGGTGCAAGAGGTAATTAAGTAAGACGCGCAAGCGTGCGGCAGAACGGCTGGTGACATTCATCTCATGTAAGTGGTTCTTGATCCGGCATATATGGCTGTCTTCCTCCACGATGACACTAGAGTTCTGTGATTGGTATCAGTCTCGCTGTGAGAAATGTCGTATTGCATACTAAGATGTGACGATGAAGAGCTGACGCTATCATCCTTTGTGTGCAAGGAGCTGACGGTTTCGAATCCATCTCTCGGAGCTAAGGCGTCTCTTCCTGTTCGCAGTTGGGCGGATGTATCAGCGTGTTTGCGATGACGGCCCCTTTTCTTGGATTCCAATAACACTGCTCAATGGAGCTTTACTAGCAGCGGTTGAGAGAGAGGGGCATACCTACTCAGAATTGAGAGGCCATGCTGCCAGAGGCTGGCCTCAGCAGCGGGCCTCCATGAATCCATGGATTTATCTATACAATATGGGAGAAGGCGAAAGCTAAGTGCTGTAGGCTATCAAGAGAACCATAGATATAATATTTCTCAGTCCAGTAGTCCCGGCGGCTTAGCGAAGGAATTGATGACATTCTACCTTATACCGAAGTGGATTGTCTATCAGCATAGTCGACTTATTCTAGGTAGGTAGACACACGATCCTGTCATTCAATCTCGGCGAAGTCTGTGGCGAAAGGGAAATGATACTCTGCATGAAGTTGACGTGCTCGTCGCCTATCTGTATAAATAGATATCTACTCTCGGCGAATCACAGCCTCGATTTGAAACCGCACAGCCATAAGGGTTGTTGCTTCTAGAATCGGACGTACCAATCTCGAGGAACTCGCTCGAAGTTGACAGCTCGGTTCGTGTAATTGTGCTCTCCATCCAGGGCCGTCCGTTTCTCTAGGGGGGGGGTTTACTTCGGCTCAGGTGACTCTTTCGGTATCCCGTCCCTCCCGGTTGGTTATTCTTGACGAAATACTCCGATGCTAGCAGAGGTTGATAAACAAGGGGAAGCGGCTGGTATTGAAGAATCTTGCTTTCTGATGGAGCCTGAGAAGTTCCTCTTCGGCCTGGCAACTTGGCTCGAAAACTTGGCGTCACTTCTCGCTGCGTCTACTCTACGACGAGGACAAGACGTGAAGGAATGGGCCGGATTTCAGGCTGCCGTTGAGTAAAAGACGAGATAGAATGGCTACGTACTCCGGCCTTTTATACTAAGTCTTAGTTGAGTTTGGCGGGCAGAGGTAGCCCCGTATTCCTATGGTGGTGGAGAGTCGCATAGAATCAAAAGATCCCTTGCGCTTTGCTCTTGTACATCATGAAGATCTGACGGGGATCGGAATGAGGATTCCGGTATTTGGCAAAGTATCTGTATGGCCCACGCTTCGAACGTGGCGAGTTAATCTTGTAGGTGTAGGGTTACGGCGAGAAAGCAATATAGTGTTGACTTTGCGTTCCGGATTCGCGGTTCTGGGGACGAGAAGAGCGGGTGGACAGAGTGGATGCTAACCATGACACCTTCCATCTTCTAGCGCGGGAATTGACTTTGATAATGCGAGTACCTTTTTTGACTTTTCTGAGCAGAGAGATATACTTTGCGTAGTAGTCTGTCTTGGGAATTCGACGACACGACATCGCTGCTATAATCGATTTGCTCAACTTTCCCCATGAGAGGTCAAAACCGACTTGATGTACACCATCTGCCGGTGTTAGGTCTACGTGCTCACCTCTAGGGTCAAAGCTGTGAATCCAGGATGTATGAATGACATAGTTTAGACGGTGTTCTTTCTCATGCCATCCTCGAACTTGAACACGACCTTTGGGGACAGCATCAACGCCAGACTCGGCGTTCGCCGAGACCCTATCCTGCGCTCATGGAATCGACATAGGCTTGCTCTACCTGTACGATTTTGCCTACCCGTTGATGGCTCAGTCTTTGCCAACGTGAGTTGCGCTCAATTGCAATTCTGTCATCAGGCCCATAGGGTTCAAAGATGGATCCTCTTTACCATCCGCGCCAAATGGCTAGCGTCGTTGTGTCTTGTCCGTGTCTGCTCGCCAGTCAAGTCTCTGGTTTCGAACCGTGGAGGTGGTAGTTTCCTGTGTGCTAAACGTTTGCCAAATCTCACTTTTGAACCTGATGCCAAACTTTTTCTAGCTGCACTTAGTATAAGTTATGTAATTAGCGGCAAGAAAACACGTTGTTTGCCCAACTCAGGGTCCAACCTTGTTTGGATCAACGCACGTTTCCCCCTCCTAGCATAGCACGACTCCTTCTCTGCTCTATGCTCCCTTGTTTTTCTCCTAGCGGCTTCTTTCCTCCCCCCCATTCGCTGGGAGGGAGATTTTCTTACTAAATTCCCTCTCAATTGGACGGGTTTACGCATATCAGTGCATTATTCATGGGCATGCATCAGCGTCGTCGCAATTAGCGGTGGTCCGATGCACGGGACGCACCGGATCGGCGCGCTTCCGGGGCGCGGTTTCGAGTCGGTGGGCTCTTCCTGTTTGGCGGGTATGGCGGGAAGAGAGAAGGGAATACGTAGGGTCAATCATGCCACTGAAGGCACTGAGGAGAGATTTGTGGTTGAGTTCTGATATTGGGAGTTTCTTCAGTTTTCAATGCTTGATGGAATTTGTTCTGTTTGTTTGATGGCTAGGCACATGTGTATACTTTGGTTATTGCGGCATCCCACTCGCGGCTTTCAGGTTGCATTATAGCCTTTTTGGGACATTTTGATTTGAGGTCGGGTTGTTGTCGCTCACTCAGCCCATAATCGATTGTTCTGTCTAGTGTTGAAGAGGTAGGGAGACGCTTTCAAACGCGTGTACAGTACATACACCACACTCTGTCCAGCAACCAAAAGAACTCCCCGAGGAACGCTCGCTCGCGAGAGAAGGAGACACAGCTACACATCTCGATGGCAGCTCTCCTATCAACGTCGGCGCTGAGGCGCAGGCTGAGGACGGCCATCGACAGCGACTCTCCCGGGAGGCGGCTGTGGAGTTGGAGCGGGCCGAGTCAAGAAGCGGAAGAGAAGGTTGAAAGAGCGGCTGCTCTTCTCTCATGGGAGGAGTTACGTGAGTACCATGCACGAAGATTCTTGTTGGATATTGAATTGGAAGTTGACGCTTAGTCCGTAGCTGAGTGGCAGCAGTGAGTTGTTCCTTGTGATGTGAGGACTACCTTAATGGGCACGACTAATTCGAACAAGATGCGGAAGCGATCACATCAAGACTGGGTATCGGTGAGTATTTCTGGGTAATGATATTGTATGTAACGTCTTGTTCTAATGGGTACTGAGATAGACAAGCGTGTGGCTCCGTATCAAGCTGCTTCGGCAGTTGGACCTATATGCATAATGAGTCGGGTGAGTTAAAAAGTATAGTCCCAGCCTGGCAACATGTCACAATCTGATACCAAGAACAGTAAACATCTACTCTCACGTAATAGGCGCCATAATCTTCATTCTGCTACCATTCTACGTCTTCAGCGATGGTATACCAGCCAGATGGAGCATCGCCTCAACCGCAGACGTGGCCGTCTGTACCGCCTATGCCATTGGTGTTACCATCTGCTTCGTCCTTTCCACGGCGTAAGTTCACCTTGGACACCAGCTTCCCTGGCTCAGTCTTCTATCCCCCCCCCTTGATGTCCAACACAGTACAGCCTACTAATTCGAGTTCCCCCACAAAGCTTCCACACCCTCATGTCCCACAGCGAACCCATCTACCTCTCGGGCATCAAAGCCGACTTCCACGGCGTCCTTGCCCTAATGTGGTCCTCCGTCTTTCCCCTGGCACATAACGTGTTCCCTAACTCCGCGGCCACGCGGGACGCCTACATCGCGCTGACCGGCGTGCTGGCCGCTCTCTGCGCCGCGGCGACGGCGAGGCCTGATCTGGGGGCCGTGGACCTGGGACATCACCGCGCCGCGTTGTTTGCGACGTTTGGGCTCGCAGCATTTGTGGTGCCCATCGGGCACGGGGTGGTGGTGGCAGATGGTGGAAGGGAGGTGTGGGATCGGGTTGGCGGGTGGTGGGTTTTGGGGACGGCTGGGTGGAATTATGTTGCTGTTTTTGTGTATTGGTCCAAGGTGAGTTCCTCTCTCGCTTCAAATTTGTGACTTTTGCTTTGTTTTCCATGTCTTCAGCGGAGCGTGGTCGTCGAGGTTGGTGCTTTGGGCTTGAGAGACTTTGCTAACTGTTCTCGGGGGCCAGTTCCCGGAAAGATGGTTCCCGAGGTCGTTTGACTTGCTTGGGGCCAGCCACCAGTTGATGCATATATTTGTAAGTTGAGGCCTTTTCTGCCGAGGTTGCCTTGGATGAGACGGTAGGGAGATGTACTGATCGTCTCAGGTTCTGGCTGCTGCTCTTTCGTATGCCAAGGCTGTCGTTGTGGCTTTTGACTATAGACATGCGCGGGAGCTTGCGTGCTGAATTTTTGGCCTCCGGCAAAAGGACATGCAACAGACAGCCTGGGGAGACATATATCTTTAAGGGTGAGCTCTCTTCGAAGGGAGTTGGTGTTAGTAGAGATTAAAAGCGAAAGATTGTTGTTGAACCATGGACCGGCATCGTAGTTTGACGGTCTACTCGATCTCTGGGAAGGGCTCAGCATAGGACGAAATCTAATTAGAATCTATATATAGTTAGTTGTTCTTGGAACAAGGCTGCACTCTCCATGAGCAGAGTTACTGTCCACCGACATGAACAACAACCTTCCCCCGTGCCCTACCACTACCAACAATCTCATACCCATCCACAGCCTCCTCGAACCGAAGCTCTCTCTCCACGACCGCCTTCACTCTCCCATCCGCCAGCATAGCAACAACCTCCTCCATCAACGTCTTCCCAGGATCCATCATCGCCGTTGCAGCCCACCGCCTCCCCGTGCCGCCCAACCAAGTCGAACGAGGCCACAACGCATTCATCTGCATCTGCCAGACCGCCTTCACAAGAGCCCCAACGGACTGATCAGCCGGCTTGATACCCACCGCAGAATACACGCCCTCGGGCTTGAGATACTCTGCGCAGTGCACATAAACATCCTGCACACCAACACAATCAACAACAGCATCGAACCGCTTCCCCTCGCCCCCGAATTTCTGCCCCAGCACCCTCGACACAGGCAACGGACGACCCGCAGTATAATCCACCACCTCGTCGGCTCCCAGACCCAGCACCATCTCCGCGTTCCGTCCCGAACAGACGCCGACGACGTACCCTTCGGGTCCGACAATCGCGCGCGCCATTTGTACGGCCAGAGACCCGATGCCGCCGCTGGCGCCGTTGACGAGGACTCTGTCGCCCTGTTTCAGGCCCGTTGCGCGGATGGTCACGGCGGCGGTGCAGCCTGCTGTCATGACGCAGCTTGCGTCGCGGAGGGGGACGTGGGATGGGACGGGGACGGCGTAGCGTGCGGGCAGGACGATGTGTTCTGCTAGGGCGCCGGTACCGGTTGGCCAGGCGTATGATATGGGGAGGAAGGCTGCGACGCGGTCGCCTTTGGAGAAGCGGACGGTGCTCTTGACTGTTGCTGCGGCCGTTGTGCTGGGTCCGGCGTTGGTGGGCGTCGAAGTACCCACATCTGAACCGGACCCGGATTCAGGGCTCCACTCGTCCGTTACGGTTCCGCTTAGGTCCCAATCCGGCACCGCCGTCTTTGCGCGCACGGCGCCCGGTAGTTTAGTGATGTAGAGGTGTCCGCCCGGATTCAGCGCCGCGTGTGCGACTTTTACGAGGAGCCATTGGTTGCCGTCGGCGGCGCCGGGGACGGGTTTGGCTTTTGCGAGGAGATGGGGCGCTGGTGGGAGGGATGGGGTCGGTCTGGAGACGAGGGAGAGGACGGAGCGGGGGGTGCCGCGGTTCGTGAATGTCCAGGCGCGTGATGAGGCCATTTTTACTTTAGGTTAAAGAAAGGTGAGATTGAGGAACTGGCTGTTTGGATGAGGGCTTGGTGAATGTGAGGTGTAGAATTTGGGGGGATGGGGGTTTAAGAGAAGCCACAGGGAGAATGTTCATGGAGAATGGAGCGCAAGGAAGATGATGCTCGGTTTATAAATATCACATATTTTTCAGGTATGCCTCTTGTCGCATTTTGATCAGTTCTTATACAGATGCCATAACTGCACTTGGTCAAGAGTCGTCGTCAGGATCGGCGGAAGTCGGCGCTGCCTAACGGTTAAACATAACGGTAGGAATACGTCCCTGCCACATCGGACACCACGAGCGAGGGGGGCCAATAGCAACCAGTGAAGAACGCCACGATTCAAAAGACACACATTATGTTTTTTTTTTCTTTTTCTTCTCTCTCAATTTCCTTCGACTCGGGAGGAAAGAGACAACTGCCATACCGCCTTCGTGTTGCCATTTGGGTAGCTTATGTTGCACTCCATATTAAGTACGTGAGCTGAAAGTCATGGCAGAGATCGTTTCGGCTGCTCGTAGTTGACATGGGCCGTGAAACGATGTAGTTCGGCCTCATTGCCTGTTATATATGGATTCAAGACTGCGGACGAGGGGATGGCGAGTTTGCAATGAACGGACGAGAAGGGTTGCATTTTATAGTCGGTCTAGACAGGTCGGACTGGCTACCGCTACATTGCCCAGCAGCGATCCAAAGGCCGAAGGGGATACTGTGGCGATGCTCTGGCGTGAAAGCTTGCTCACAGCAACCAAATTTTGCATCTTGAGGGTCACAAGTTCTGCCGGGCTAGGATCGTTGTTTCGGGAAATTTGAGAGGCTGGTTGGAACGTCAAAAGTGGTCGTCCGAAGAAAGTTCACCAGATAGCGTTGGTATCAGGACACTGCATCAACGTGACCACAGCCCCAGCTGAGATTCAGGTTCGAGGAGATGTACGAGATCCAGTGTCGCAAATCCAAGTTTAGTACTGTGGCCATGCATGTTCATACTACAACGCCGGGTCAAAAGTAATGGTCGTATATTGAGAATGCCCCAACTGAAATGTGGGGAGTGCTAGGTACAAAACATACCTAGGGAAGAATCATCGGCACAGCTACGGCAAGTCTGCCCAGGCCATTGGGAACATACCTACATACCTACATAACGTAGGTAGGTAAAAAGGGTTTATCCGAACATGTGACCAGAAAAAAGACCCGAACGTGCAGCTGACACTTTTCCTCCGAGCTGAATGGGTCGCCACACCAGTTGCCAGGTTCATCGCATTGAATTGGGTGGCACGGGCGACGTCTCACTGGCAAGTCACCAGAAGTCTCCAGGTGGAGTGGGACGATTCGACACGACATGTCCCCCGCGACGGCCTGAAGTCTGGTGGCTGTGGGGCGCTGGACTTTTGAAGGAGTGGACCTGGACTCGCTGGACTGTGCCCGCCCGGGCTGTACCTGTAGCTTGTGGCACTGCGGCACCGGCACGAAAGGGAAGGTGGAGATTTGAAGACACTTGTGACTTTTGGGGCGTCGAAAGCGACCCTAAGTACCCTACCCAATGACAGTCTTTCGGCAGCTTAGTGGTCCCTGGGGAAAGAAGACCGGCGACCAGAGCTGACAGCCATGGACTGAGGGGGGATGGGGGGCTCCCTTGGTGGCCAAAAGGGCCAAGACTTTGGGATGCAGAATTCGGGGCCTGGAACCTTGTCGTGCCTGTCACGCTTGCCCACCGGAAAGCCAAAATAACCACCACACCCACCCAACTGGCAAAGCCAAGGGCAATTCATCCCTGGTGCGTCTGCTGCCTATACCCTTTTTTTGTTTTCTGTTTTTTTTTTGTTTTTTTTGGCCGTCTGCCTACCCAGGTACGCATACGCATACGGCAACACACCGTTCCTTTCTGTCTTTCCCATTCCCCTCACGATTGTCTCTCGTTTTTTCTCTCTTCTGCATCCTGCTGGCCGCCTGTTATTGTTTTCGTCTTTGCTGCTGTTGGAGGATTTGTTCACGCCTTGGTCTCCCACATCCCCATCTCCATCGTCGACCCTTACTATCGAGATCATTCACCAGGCCATCTCCCATCGAAGGCTACCGACCTACCTCTTCCCCTTCCCACGACCAAAGCATCATTCCTTCGAAATGTCGATGCCGGGCGCCTTCTCCCCCGATCTGCCACCCTTCGAACCAGACTCCAAAAAGGACGATTCTTCCTCTGCTGCCGCCAACCCGCCGCCTCTCCGTCTCAACCAACCCTCCGACGCCTTCTCCCTCCACACAAACGACCCCTACTACGATGACATTGCCACAGCCTCGTCTTCGAATGCTGGCGACCTGCCCCCGTCCTACACTGACGAACCCTCGTCGCTCGACCCAAAACACAACCTAACCACCACCGTGACCCCGCTCCTGGCAGACGAGTCCGGCCACTCCCCGCTCCTCTTCCGCAGGGACCCCGACACCGGTGCCGAAATCCACTGTTCACGCCGCCTCGATACCGACCCGGCCTTTCTCGAATCCCACATCACCTCTCTTGCCCAGTCGCCACCAAGACCTTACCTGCGTGTCCGCGGCACCCACACCGAGAGCATCCGCAAGCGGGACGATAAGACGGAGAGCAAGACCGTCGTCGACTTTGACGTCCGCGTCGAACTCACCCCTTACCTCTACCGCGACATCGCCACCCGACGCTCGTGGCGCGAGCTCCGCACCGCCGACAACTTCCAAAAGGTTCGCCGCGGTACCGTCTTTCCCACCCGTGCCCCGGGCTTCGGCGGCAGGTCTTCGGGTGCTCGAGGTGGTGCTGCTGGCGAGGAGGTGAGCAAGGAGCCGCCCACGCTGCGGGAGTGGTGCCATCGCTACTGCGCCTCGCACGCAGGGCTCAAGACCTTTTCGCTCCTGCGCACCGTGCCGGGATTCGACGACGATGAGCGCCTCAAGGCCCGTCTCGAGGACCTGGTCCGCGCCACCAACTACCGCGGCCGTATTGACGTCTCCTTCCCCGTCCATGATGCCAGAGTCGACATCTACAACACGTGCCGCGTGAACCGCTGGCGCTACACCACCTGGGTTTGCTGGCTCTTCTACCTGACCTTCCTCTGGGTCTTTGCGTGGCCCTACCTCTTCTTCCGTACCAAGCGCTTCGAGGTCGTCGAGGCCGAGTGGGCCTTTTCCAGACGCCGGAGAGATCCCCAGACCGGGAGAGCAGCGGGCGGCAGAGAGTACGTCAGCCTGTCAGAGACCGACCTGTACAACATGTGGGGACGGGCCATCTCCAAGGCCGTGCTGGAGAGGAGGCAGGGCGAGCTGGACCAGCGTGATCTGCGAGATGCCGAAGGGCGACAGGATACGAGCTTCGAAGACGTCCTCGCGGGGATCGATCAGGAGACGACGAGAGGCCTCGTGAGGGCCGGCGTGAGTGCGATGAATGTTGTCAATCGGCACTTTGGGTGGGGAGAGGATCGTTGATGTTGGATGTCTCGATCACCGTTTCTTCGTTCTTGATATCGGGTTGTTGGTTTCGTTCCCTCGGACGGGTCGCTTTGCTTCATTTTCCCCTGCTCTTTTTCTTTCCTAAAGACCGGAAGTGCGGGTGTTTTGTCTTTTGGTCCTTTTTTTCCTGCATTGCCTCGTAATGATTCCCAGACTGTGACGCATCATGATTCTTTCTTGTACCCTTTGGTTCGGGAATACCACTGTTTTGGCATAGTAGCGAGGGTTCAGAGTTACCTACGAAAAGCACAGCACGATATATATATATATATATATACATACATACATACGTAACCCCAATCGAGATGAATTGCTAGTAAATCTGATGAGCAGTATTTGTGCTGGAGTGATGTGCTGGCTGTTTCCGAAGAGAAAAAGACTCAGGAAAATGTATGCCAAAGCAAAAGAGGAATCGATCCATTTGTACTCTAGGAAAGAGGAGGGAATTATCATGTTGCACCCGAAGCTTCCGTCCCATGTCTCACAAGCGACCCCTTCGTGTAAGCAACGCTCGAGCATCGTTAGGGTCTAGCTCCGACACGGGCGACCGAAGAATCACCAATTGGATTCTGCACCTACGGGAGTACGGATAGTTAGTTAGGTAATCTGGACCCTGCGACGGAACCCCGCCGTTTTGTTCCATTGTGCCCCGCCATCCCACCTCACCTCACTTTAAGTCTCAATCTCATTGCGCTCATAAAGCTCGCCAAGTGTGTTTAGTTTGTGTCATTCGACGTCACACACTTCTTCACCGCCGGGAAGACTTACCTCCGCGGTAGATAAACCGAACCAGAAAACCGGGAAAAAAGATATACGTACGGAGTTATGGAAGTCAAGAACCCGCGCCGGGTACTGGCCGTCTCGCTCGCCGACTCATCGCAGCACTTGAGTAGAGTCCTTAAAGGTTTGTGAAGCTATACTCACTCTTTTACCATGCTTGTTCACTTGGCCTTGGCATGTGCAACTCGTTCTCGACCCATCTCATCTTCGCTCATCTATGTCACTCTCGTCATGAGATGGAATGGGAAATCAAGCCCGCATCACATGAGAACCTTTGCAACATCCCCAACATCTCATCTCATCAGCATCACATCCTTCCCTACAACCCTCTATTGAAACACCCTCTCACAAAATGACACAAGAAGACACAATCATACTAACGCGAGAGAGACGGCCAGACCTAACAGGCACCCACCCAGAACCAGCATCCACAACCCTCGCAGGCACAACGCACATCCTCCCCATCAAGACGAGCTACTACACCGCCGACGTGCCCATCTGGCTAGACCTCGTCGCCTCCCCGGCCGAATGGTCCGCGTCTTTCCTCTCGCCCGAGGCCAAGGAGGTACTTACCGTGCTGGGCGGTTTGGCCGTTGTTTTTGCCCTGCCTTCTTCTTCTTCTTCTTCTTCGTCTTCTTCTCCTGCCTCCGCGGCCCCGGCTTCGACAGCAGCACCATCACCAGCGTCAGCAGATGCCACCGCCACCGCCACCGCCACGCCAGCACCGAATCCGCCTTCGGTAGAAGACACCCGCGCGCTCATCGCCGAGGTCGGGAAGGTCGTTCGCGAGGGGCTCGGCGGGTGGGGATGGGACGGCGTTGGGTTGGGCATCGGGGTCGGGGAGGGCGTGGCGGACGAGTGGGAGGATCTTTGCGCGGAATGGGGGCTTGAGTTTGTGCAGGTTCGTGGGGGGAAGAAGGATGATGGCCGGAACGAGTTGGGAGGTGAGTTTTTCCACATCCCTCTTTTTTTCCTCCTTTTTTCCTTTCCCCTTTGCCTCTTCTTCTTGCCTCCTTTCTCTTTTCCTTACCCTTTGTTCCTCTTTTTTTTTTTCGCCTCGCACTGTTCAGCATACACTCTATACCCCTATGCCGTGCTTCGACGCTTCAGATTCGATTTGGCAGGAAGTGGGAAAGGAGAGTAAAAGGGCATTTGTCTCGGAACTTACCCCTATGTTACCCCCTCGCGCATACAATACATAATCAGGGTGCGTTCATGCTGATATACCTTTGTCAGAGAAAATGGGCATAGCAAGAGTCCTCGAGGCACTCGAATCCAACGACTGGGACGCCGCAGACGACATGGACGGGCCATCAGACCTCGACTCGGACGACGACGCCGCCGGCAATCTACCCAGGAAACCCAGAGCCCTAGCAGATGGAAACGGCAGCGACGACGGCGACGACGATGAATTCGACCTCGACGACCCAGAGAACCTAGATTTCGGCTTCGACAGAGCGGATTTCGAAGGCTTGAAGAAGGCGATTTGGAACCTTGAGCAGGAGCCGGAAGATGAGGACGTTGCAGGAGAGGGAGCGGGAACGGGGAAGACGGCGGCTGGTGTTGGTGGTGGTGGTGGTGTTGGTGGTGGTGATGGCAAGGTAGCAAGTGAAAGTAACGGCGCTGCTGTCGAGAAATCTGACGCGAAGAAGAAGAAACGTGACGAAGAAAAGGAGGACCTGGACGCCGAGGACGTGGAGAAGATTGAGCAGATGATGCGCAAGCTGCAGGCTGTAAGGGACCTTAGCGCGGGTCTGCCTGAAGACCAGAGGCGGAGGATGGCGAAGAAGGCTGTTGGGGAGGTGATGAAGGAGCTTTGAGCGGGGGGTTGGGGGTGGTGTTGATGTCTCGTCTTCCCATCACTTTGATCCCGGTGTTGTGGTTTCGTCGCTAGGATACAGTCTCCTCCCTCTTGAGGCCAAGGGGGGAGGGAGGGGGAATACGCAGGTGTTCCGCTGGTCTTCTTTGCGTTTGGTCTGAAGCAGGGGACATCAGCAGATGAAGAAGACAACAACTGTGTAGGGAGAGATTTGTGTGTTTCTCCGGACGACGCGCATGAAAACCTTACGGAAAGCGGATGAAGTGCTAAGGAGACTTCGGTAAACGCTCTGCTTGAGCCGAAGTGCCTTTCAGACGTAGGGGCCCCGGAGTTGACGGAAGTGACTAGAACATATCTCCCTCCGACTACAGTCAACTGTGCCCGCTGTTCATTCGAGCAGCGCAAGGTGGACGTGACAAGCCTACCTAGAGACGTCAAGCCCGAGACATCAAGAGAGAGAGAGGGAGAAACACATCAGATTCGTCTTCACACGAAATCACAAAACATCAATCTTTGGAGAAAACTCTTTCCCCCAGTGATGCTATCTATACCCCATCAACTTAACGTGAGCCTAGTTTGTTTCGCCCGAACTACCTTGGGTTCGTAGGACTTTCACATCTCGTTGTACGATGGCCATGACAAACCCCATATGATCCAGCGGGAATACAAACCTTTATAGGGAAAACGACGAAAAAATGTAAGCTACGTAGCTGGACACTTCAAGTAGATAAGCAGCTGGAGTAGGTCGATCTCGCGCGGCTTCGAAAACGAGACCAGAGCAACCAAAGGTCAACAAAAGCGCTCGCCATTCTTAGTCTGACGAGAGTCGTCTGCATACAAACATGCACGATTAAGGTGGCATGCATACGATATTCGACTGCTAAGAATCCTCACCAGGCTTTGGGAGTGAGTCCAAAGGCCAGAAGAACCCCTCCCAGCATGCTTTCAACCAAGGGTTGCAAATAGCCTGTGGCTAGATTTGAAGCCGACTCTTCATGTCCTCTCTGCGCTTCCCTACTATCTCCAACTGTACTGAACCTTCTCGACGGCGCCCACGTCTGCAACGTCCACCCTTAGTCAACTAGCAAGAAATCTAAAGGTATTTCGTCGCCGCATTGAGCTGTAGCCCATCAAGTTGCTGATAGCCCTGCTGGACACAAAATGGAGCAACAACCGTTGCTGACCATTGTCCCCCTAAAGTGGCACCGCATAGGGGTAAATTCTCCAGAAACGTGGCTTCCTGCTGATCTCCCGTGGACTGGAAGGTGTAGGCTATCCAAAGGCTGTAGATCCCGGATATTCTACACCAGCAAAATGCTGCCCCGGGTGTATATGCCCAAGTCGGCAGATACCGAGAGCCATGAAGCCTCCCCTTTCCCTTCTACTCTTCGACGTGCCGCGTGGCATGCATAGAGTGTTGCCTCTTAGTATAGAAACAGGGTCCAGCCCCATCCATATATCTTCCGCAAGCTCACCCATTTCGGGCCAGGAAAAACCGAGGGCGTGGTTAGCCAGACATATAGGGATGCGTTAGACGGCTTGGAAATATAAAGTGAGCCCACTCGAATCGAGGAGTTCGGACGGCGGGCGAACGAATCAGGGGATCCGATAGCATCATGCAGCAAGACTAGGTGGTAGGTCCATATTGCTCAAGATCGTTCGTCCCTAGAGTTATGCTTCGAGGAGGCTCCGCGCTTGATCATGCCGAGTCATGAAGAGATGCCCTCTGCAAGCCAGGTCAATCGCCCTGAAGTTGGGTCAACCCGGGAGAATAGATTGATCCGAACAATTCGGCGGTCAAGTCCCGTCTCGGGTCAAGCAGCTGTCAGCGGGAGGCCGGCCAGGGGACCCGTCTCGGTGAGGGCCGGCAAGAACATCAGACGAACGCTAGCGCCGATCCTCTTGCAAGCCCTTGTGCGATCTCGTACAGATGCACGACGTCGACGTCGCAGACAGACAACGAGCAGGGACAAATCCGGCACAGCCTCTCCATATGGCCCACAGCTTGGTTCATGCCGACGTGGTTCCCCTCCTGTCCCCTCTAGAGGCCCGAGCACGGAGGTCTTTGCAGCAGTAGAATGTTCTGTCGCGCATCGCAAAACAATGCGGCGGAGCAGCGCGTTGGAGACCGGCGTCGCATGACTGGTGGTCTCTTTCTTTACCTCACGAATCCTCCCTCCGTTGCCGGCGGGGAAGCTAGGCTCAATCGGAAATTTCTCAGCGATGCCTGTAATGCTTGTCGAGGAAGCGATAACCTGCTAAGTTTCAGCAAACTCGATCGGGAATGCTTGGCCCGGTATCACGGTAGTTTTGGGTACCCTGCTGCGCTGTTGGGGGCTCGCTAGACGCTGCTTTCGTGATCGTTGGCGACCGGTTGTCGTTGATATCCCAGCATTTAGGGCATTTCATACGGGTAGGCTGTAGCCAAGCCGATTGAGGAGAATAAGTAATCGTCCGAGCTCATTGGCGCGATACTGTGGGATGTCAAGTTTTGCCTCACTGTTGCTAGTGTCGATCAGTCTCGCTGCCCAGTATCTTTCATGTAAGGGGAAGTAAACGATCGTAACATGCACGATGAGGATCTAGGATACGGTGAGCATGCGCCGTCTTGCCATCGAAGCTTCAAAACAAATGTACTTGGAGTAAGTAAGCAATGGCAACGCGTCAAGGCGCGTTTCTCGATGTGTTGTCGCAGTGTCACGATGATCATTCATGCCTCGGCGGAGCCCCAGCTTTAGCGACCTGCCTATTGGTCAGTGGTCTCGGAGTGATTATGCTCTGTCAGTGGTGAACCCGGAGCTGAATGCATTTGCAGGCGGCGTAAAAGCTCTGGACCTCCAGACCTGACTACGAAAGCAGGACCAGACCTTTGGGACCGTATCGATGGCAACTGACAGTCTGACAGCCATGAGCGTTTCGCAGCGTGAAGACAAAGGAAACGACAAAGTCTGTGAAGCACGCCATTGTCAAGCCAAGCCAAATTAGCCAGCTATCGACGATACGGGACTTGATGGAGACCGTAGCCTTTTCGGTAGCTGCGGATGGTCAGCTGACAGGACTCCAGGAGCGCAGCAGATCTGATAGATGGACCCAGTACCCGTAAAGCATCACGCGCTCTCGTGTTGCCTGGCTGTCAGTAGCCGACTTCCATGCCACCGTTTGATTCTGTGGGTTGGTGCCACAGACGCCGCGGCGGAAATGTCAGCGATACATCTCGCCTATTCCTCGCCTTGTCTACCTCTTGCGGCAATCTTGCGTATTATCCATAAAGGGTCCAGCGACGACAGCCGGTCTCTCAAGGGCTCCCAGCAAGCGAGGATTAACTCTACAGGGCTCGAGATAGGGGGAGGGGCAAGCCAAGGGAGTCGGCCAGGGATTTCGAGGCGCGCAATGTTCGACGGTTCTTCTGGAACAAAAATCACCAGGCTGTGAGATTGGGGTCCCCGTCCAGCGTCCGGTGATGCTAGCAGCGATGAACCCCAGACGGGCAGATTATTTGAAGCAATGGGCAGCCCATACCGGCGACCGCGAAATCCGGCCGCTGGCGGCGGGTTCACCAGTCAAGAAGGCGGTGGATGCGACAACGAAAAGTTGGCCCGCCGTATTTGCTGATGACCGTCGTCGGCTTCGGTGGCTGAGTCAGTAACAGAAATGTTTAGATTGTTTGAATCCGAGGCCAACGGCGAGTGGGCTCTCAAAACGACGATCTCCCACCAACAACGCACGGAACTATGCGATGGTCGGTCGTCAATGTTCACGACTAGACTTCCTGCTCCGTTCTCCTTTATGCGGCGAAAGAAGATAACCATCTGTGTTCCGTACGGATACTCCCCCAGGGTTCTTGGTTGATGTTTTGCGGAGGAGGCACGCTGCAAAAAAGCCGCGGTCCGACAGGGCTCTTATCTGACAGTTGTTGTTGAACGGGGCCGGAGGCGGACCGGGGGACTAGGACTGGAGACGCGAGCCAGAAGCGGGAAGAGAAAAGATCAGACGAAAGAAGCACGACGTATCCGCAAACTGAGGGCCATGGGGCCAGAGAGGCGTGGAAGGCAGGGGGAACCTCAACGAAGGCTCTTTCAGACTCTCACCCCTCCTTTTCCCTTCCTCCAGGCTCCGTGTCTGATGATTCTGCCCTGGTTCCATGAGAGAGCCTTAAACCCTGAGCCATGAGATGCTGCGGTAGTGGCTCTCTTCCTAACCCGACAAGGAAATCCATCGACGATCTTTCGCCAGACCGAATTCGGCCAAGTTTCGAGCATAATGTCCAATGAGAGCGATTTGACTTTGACAGATCCCTGCTCTTCTTCTCGAGGCTGGTTGGCTGAGCCGCAGCGTCCCTGAGAAGTTGCAAGGTATCGACACCAACACTCAGGGGTAAAAGCGGATCCTGCTGAAGACAACCTGGAGCCCTGACACCGACTAGTTCTCAGGGACAGTCTTCCGCATTCCTCAATACTGTGCTGACTTTCTCGCACTTCGTGCACCCCTGCAACAAGTCCAGTTCGGGAAAACGGAGCCGAACCGTCATGCATCACCGACTCAATGCCGTCTCTCCCCTTTGCTCCACGACTTTGCTTCAGTGTCCGTCCCTACGGCATTACGGTTTCGCTGAAGTGGCGCTGACGGCGGAGTCATCTCGTTGGAGCAAAGAAGCTTGTGGACTTGGAGAGCTGTTTCTCTCGTTTCCATGCAGGATAAATTCAAACTCTATGCCTTGTCGTTCGGAACACTGGTCGCGTTCCTTGAAACGAAGCCACTTGGTTGGTTAGAGAACAGCAGCATACCCAATGAGACCCTCGCCAACCTTCGGGGGGTTTTGGTCTTTTGTGAACCACCTAGCCGGGATGAGGCCCGCCAATGCCGTGAAAGCAAGTGCAAGTGCAAAGGCAAATGCAGACAAAAGGTGTTATTTGACCTTGAACTTTGGATGGACGGAGGATCCCATTGCTATTTCGGGCATCCTGGTGGTGTATGACAGATTTGTAGCCGCCTTCGTGGAGT